TCAACTGAATTTCTTTTTATTGTGTGAGAATTTCTTTGTAAAATAGGAAAACAGCTGATACAGAAATCTATAAAGTAAATACGCAGGAAGATATTTCTTCCATTCTGGCTAAATTTATAATAATCACTGAAGTGTAATTTTAGCAAAGAACATAAAGATGTCTAATGATATTTCTCCTTCAATTTATTGCTTTACAAAAATAATTAAATTGAGATAAAGAAGCAGTAATTGAAAACATACTGTGGTAGTGAAACACACTCAAAGCATCAAGACAAACTGAAGTTATCTGACCAATAATGATTTGAGGGAAAATGCAATAGCATTTTTTAAAATTTATCACTGGGAACAGACATCTAATAACATTTTCGTTTCAGATCTGTTCTTGGAATGCATGTACTCTGTATGTACTTTGTACTCAGTAAAATGTATAGTTTATCTATAAGAAAAGAGGTAGTAGAATAATGCATGCTCTCGGTGCTCTCATCACACTCGATGATTCAAAGATAAGTTCTTTTTGTATTTTTGTTTATTATAATCTAAAAAATAAGGTTAACATTCTTTTCATGGCAGGTGCATGTTGCTCTCCATCTTTCTGTGGTCCTGATGGACGTAGCTGCCTTACAGCGGTTCCTTCCACCTTCCGCCCTTTTCCTCTTGACATATACTCTCCACCTACTTCACATCCTCCTTCTTTAACACTCACTGGATATGACTCAATTTTGATTTTCCTATTAGTCAGTTATTACGTCTGGGTTTTTTTTTTTTTTTTTTTTTTCCCCTTTTCTTTTTTTTTCTTTTTTTTTCAGAACCCCCCCAGCAAAACAAAACCCAAACCCTGTGTTTAATTTTGCTTCTTGAATTGCACGAGCATTCTATGAAGTAGAAAAAGAAGAAGGTAAATTACAGAGTCAGATTCTTCTCTCCGATTGGTGTAAGACAAATAAATTCAGTGATACCACAGCAGAACGTGTGAAGTGGGAGTGGAATTTGGCTGTTATAAAGCTGGAAGGTTTTAAGACAGAAGCTGATTGTCCTTAGCTGTATGTTGGAGGTATTTTGTTTTAATAACGGGGAGGGAAGGGTAGGTTAGTGTATTCTATATTTTTTAATATTACATTGAAACTTTGCTAAAGAATGCTGAATGCTCTCTTTTTAAAAGAGTTTAATGGCAATTGGTAACTAAAACACTTCCTTCAGAGGAAGCAAACATATGTCTAAAATATTCAGCTATCAAAGAATTCTGATGAATAGCACACACACTGATGTTGAAAAAGAACTATTATGTGCATTGCAATAACATATGTAACAGTTAACAGAGCAAAAAAATTCTTCCTTGTTCGCAGGTAAATTATATAGCTTGCTGAATCTATTATTTTATTAAAAAAAAGAAAAAAAAAAAGGTGGTGGAGGGGAGAAGGTGGTGTTTAAGTATATGCATGGTGGGGCATAGTGTCTGACTGTCCAGTTCAGAGATATTCTTACCAAAACCCCCTCCATTTAAATATAAAATAGATGCTAATGTTGAACTCCACTTTTGGTGCATATGGATGTATAATAATTGTGTATTATGTACATGTGTGTATTTATGTAACAATGAAGGAAGAGAGGTCTATTGATCTAATATGTATCCGGATGCAAACATTTTTAATCTAATATATTTAGAAATCACTGAAGTGATTCCTATTCCCCTGGCACTAATGAAGTAAATAGAACTTCTGACCATGTAGCAGTGCCTTGTAATCCGTAAAAATTGTTGCCAACTTGAAACTAGGTATTTGTGATGTATTTACATTTCTGTTTCACTGGTTTGTGATGTACTAGTGTGACGTACTAGCGTGCTTCTTGAATATTCTAATAGATACTGGAACTATACTCAGCCTTTTTGTGTTTTTAGTGAGGGCTAACCTCATTTTACAATGTAAAGTTGAATGGAAATTCATTTGAAGTTAAAAGACAACATAGATACCAGCTAATACTTTAGGGACAGAGAACGTGTGGAAACTGGTGGTCGTTGCTTGTGTTTCTGAGATGTATTTGCTGGAATTAGTATTTTTAGTCCTGTACAATTCTGCTTGCCTTAGGCTGAGTGGTGTGAAATGTAATTGAACTAATGACTCACTGTGGTGAGATCATTTTTAAGCATGTAGTGAGCTTTTTATTGTACAATACTATGGCATATATTTGCCCTTTTTTCTCCAGTGATGCTGCCTATTTTTGCGTTCTGTTTTAGTCTGTCTGTCAAGCACCCACGGCACACCTTCATATCCCTCCTAAAATCCTCTTTGGTATCTGTAGGATATACAGTGTTCCTTCACTAGTTACTCTTTATTTTGTCTTGTTTGTGTTAAATCTGTCGTCTTCGTGGTACAGATCATGTATGATTCTGTTTTATAGTGACTCCTGTGTATATATGGGATTGCACATATTCTTACTTGTGTTTCTCCGTGCTCCATGCAGAATTTTTTTCTGCAGACCTCAAAGTGTACTCCAACATGGTATAAGTCCTTTTTTTTTTTCCCCTTTATGTAATGAAAGATGAAGAATAGTAAATGTAAAAATGAACTTTCTTATATTCTTAAAGGCAATCAATGACTGTGATCGACATAGCCTTTAAAACCTGACTTAATCTCTCTGACTAATTCCTAGGCTGCATTTTCTCTGTGTTATGAAGTACTGCTTCATTGAAGCTGACTTCCTAATGAATGAGCTTTTAACACTAAATGTGTAGTTCTCAAGGATTTATTTAATTTTAAAAAATAAAGTCATGCTGTCAAAAAAACTTCCAAGTCTGAAAGTTTTTCTTAAATGCTTATTTCAGATACATACATGATGTAAGCTTATTCATGTGTTGTGGTCATTATGATTTCTTTTTTTCTTCTTTTTAAATAAATGAATAGTATTTTTAATTGATTTAAGAATGCTTTATTGGAAGATAAGTAATCAGTTAAATCATACTATGCGACTTTCTTCTCCTTCTAGTGTTCAGAATACAGAGGATAGCTAGGCAGAGAAAAGAAGAAGTGTTACAAAAAAGAAAAAATAATAGTTCCTGCTTAGGTTTTTTGGGCACATCTCTTTTCAGAAGTGCTTGTTGCTGAAAGAATGTTTTTGAAATGATAAATTTGGAGCATATGGGATTTTTTTTTTAAAAAAAAAAAGCTTCTTGCATAAAAGCATTAAGTTTACTTCCCCCCTGCAACCTCTCAAATAAGATGAAGGATTTCAATTCTAGGAAACTAGGGATAGCTTGGATGAAATCAACACTGTAAGTGGGTACAGTTGAATGCAGGTGTCGTTGGGCTAGCTTTTAGAAAAAAGCCAGTGAAATTATGTTTGAATATATGTTACACAGTAATTTTAGATAACAAATTATTATCAATTAGATAATAAAACTTCTAGGTAGAATTTGGATGATTGTTAGTGGCTGGTCTTTGTGGAATATGGAGCTGTAGTATTATTTTTTTGAGTCTTCTGTTCTGGTAAGCTAAGGCATGAGCCTAAGTAAACTAAGGCACATTACAAGTACTGCTTTTTTTTTTAACCACAAAAAAAAATTTGGCAATACACATATGATTAATAATTTAATGATGTAATGGAAAATAGCTTTTTGCTCCCTTAAAACCATACTTTTTTTTAAATATGCAACTTCAGAAAAGTGCTTCAGAAATCCTTATTTTTTTATGTAATACTTTAGTTAAACTAGCTCTCGTATTCAAGGATATGCTCTGCTTGTTTTTTTTTATGGAAGCCAATACTTATTGAGAATTAGCCTTTTAATTGTACTGGTAGCTGGTGACACACTGAGCAGTTTATATAGCAAGACAAGTGAAATCATGCTGATTCATTTTGCAGTTTTTTGTTTTGTTTCCCCCTCCCCGCCATAGCTGGTAGCTAAGTCAATGAATGTAGCCACTGTTCATTGAAGTGATGAATTTTTTAAGCATGGGATAGTGCAAACCACTCAACAAACTTTTGTTAGGATGAATATCTTAATTCTTGCTTACAGTGCTATGGATGATGATGACTTCTTAAGGCTTCTTGATTCTTCATTGCAGGTGTAAGATGAAATAGAAGAAGAGGATGTAGAATGATCGTATACCATGGCTGTCCAGGAAATACAGAAATAGGGTAGCTGATCAGTATTGGTGATTGGTTTGTGACAAAGCAGTTGCATGGCTAGAACTGAACATCATTGAAGGAGGAGTGAAGTTAAAATAATACAAAAGTTATTGAGGGCAAAAAAATTATCTTCTACTTTAGTTGTGGCACACGACAGCCATATCTATCTATGTAGATAGATGGTATGAATGAAAAATCTCTGTATAAAAGGTCCCCATGTCACACTAGAGGTCTAGCTAAAACCCTTCAGTGTGGAAATCTAAGCTGTTGCACAGGAATGGCTTTGTTGGTTGGTTGTCTTTTAGCATCAAGCCCAATAACTTTCTTGTCTGTGTTTTTTGCCATCATTTAGCCTATCTTTCCCCCTTACCCCCTCCACCCCTCCTGTGTAATTATTCAAAGTTATGTATTTTCTATATAGAAACTGTGGATCTGAGATTGTAAACACAAGACTTTTTACTTTTCTTAAAAGTATTGTCAATTTTTGGACAAACATGAATTTCTGCCCACCCC